GTTGTATGGGTCCCTCGATATAGGGACATTCCTGGCAATTGCCTAGCCGACGTGCTGGCAAGGAGGGGGACGAAAATATCTGAAGTTAATTCTGCTCAGAATGCGAATATACCTCTAAATCCCTGCAAACATGGACTAAAGGCTGAATTCATTCTAGTAAACACCAGGTGGGCTGTGGAAACCATCTGCCATACTACCAGGAAAATTTGGGCAATGGTTTATGGTTGGTCATCTTTTTGCTTTGTGTTAGTGTGAGCGTTGTCGAATTTTGGCTATGTGCACGGCTGCATTTGAATTCATATGTGTATTTATAGTCCGCTGTTGATTAGTGCCAACACCGAATAGAGCAATGCTTGGTGTTTTTATAGCACATTACATTTTAGTATAAATATAATATAGTATAGCTTATAAGTTCTACAATTCAATGAAGCTTGGCAGAGAATGCTTTGGCCACTAAATTAACATATTAACGAGAGATAAACTAATATGTCATATCAATAATTGCATGAAAAATGATATTTCTTGCCCCCATTTGATTAAAAAGGAAAAGCATAAGGGGTATGCATACCAACATATGTCCTTGAACAACAGGCCACAAATAAATTTGTTCACAAAGGATTATGTACATATATTTCTATCAGGTATACAGCATAACTGCTACAAGTTAAGTTGGCGTAATTTTAGTCAGAGTCAAATTTGCTTTTATGTGGCAAGTGCAATAATCGTACCTACCAAGTTTGGTACAAATTGGGTGTACGGTTACCGGTATATGGGAGGTAGGCGTTATTGTCCTATTTTACCCATTTTCAATACCATCCGTCCTACGCTGAAGAGAAGTACACATACCAAGTTTCGTTAAGATATCACAATTTTTACTCGAGATATTGAGTGCCCAGATGGACGAAAGGACAGACAGTCACCGCTTCTTTTCTTTTCGATTTCTTTTTTCCTTCTGATCATGTATGTATACATTGGCCTATATCTATCTCTGAACAAAGTTATATTACCCTTGTGCACAAGGTATCAAAAGACAACTTTTCGCTGAAATGGTATAGAATTCTTAGGCCCACTTGCAGAACAGCAGGTTATGTATATAACGCGAAGTTTACCGGTTAAATTGATAAATTGGCTTGCATAATCAATGGCTAGGATTAAGATTACAGTTAAATCGTAAAATATTTAGCCCAGCAATTTTCGAAGGTTAACTTGCTAACTCTACATATCGCACGCGATCATCAAAAGTGGCACAAGCCAAAATTTGGCATTTTTGAAATTAGTTGCGTTCGCGTAGCTGTTAATTGTTCATGTTTAACCAAAACTTACAAGTTTTTGCGCTCACGTACGCAAAAAACTTGCAAAGTAGGGGAAATTGAGAGAGCAAAGTGACATTTCATTTTGAGGGGAAGCTGCTGGTTTCTGCTGGAAAAATTTTTCACAACAGCAATTTGCCAGCAGGAAAACAGCTGGTTCGCATTTACGCAAATCACAAAATTTAATTTGATGGTTTGGAAGTTAAAAATTACAAAATGCGACTAATTAAACTTGTAAGAAATAAATAGTTATTTGTTTAATCAATAAACTGTGTCAGTATAACACTTTGTGATGACTTTTCGTACGTTTTAAATCAAGGCGAATTTATAGGTGCGTTCGTTTAAAATCTCCAGTTAAAACCAACCAACTGCCAAATTCCGGCGAAATGCCATCTGTTCTCTCACAAGAGAAAAATATCTAAAATAGTACGCGAACAGAAAATTTGCAGAAACTTGCAAGTTAGACGAACAGCTGATATAAATTTTGTTTACATTCAAAAGTGTAAAATTTAAAACGTACGAAAAGTCATCACAAAGTGTTATACTGACACAGTTTATTGATTAAAAAAATAACTACTTATTTCTTACAAGTTTAATTAGTCGCATTTTGTAATTTTTAACTTCCAAACCATCAAATTAAATTTTGTTATTTGCGTAAATGCCAACCAGCTGTTTTTGATCAGCTGCTTTTTTGTTGGCAAATCGCTGTTGGCAAAAATTTTTCCAGCAGAAACCAGCAGCTTCCCCTCAAAATGAAATGTCACTTTGCTCTCTCAATTTCCCCTACTTTGCAAGTTTTTTGCGTACGTGAGCGCAAAAACTTGTAAGTTTTGGTTAAACATGAACAATTAACTCTCTAGAAAATAATTTTTGCAACCTCACATACGCGGTTTTGAATTTTGTTGATACGCGGTTTTGTACTTTAAACGGCGATATGTTTTCTTGGGACAGTCTAATGTAGGGTTGCCAGACGTACTGCTTTTGGGAGTAAACGTACTCCTTTTTATTGCAATGTACTCCCATGTACTCACAAAAAAAAAATATCTGGAAATGTACTCCTTTATTAGTTTTGTACTTCTTTTGTACTCCTTTTTCCAGCTATTAATATTTTATACTGGGAGTAAAATAATAACTGTTGCACAGTTTTTTTGAAAAATAAAAAAAATAAAATTTTGTTTCCTTTATACAAAATCTAAGAAAAAATACACCTGGAAAAGAGGTGTGTGCCGCATGTACTCATCTCCCAAAGTTGGCAAATGCAAATAAGGATTAAAATTTTAAATCCAATTAATAAAATGAAACTAAAATATTTACAAAGTTAAAAAAAAAGTAATTTGTTTAACAAAATCTATAAAGAACCCTTTTATTTTTCAAAAGACCTGTGCGACAGTTAATATTTTACGCCCTGTACTTTGCCATTCATATTGTGGCAAACACTACTTAGTAAGAAAAGTTAAGTGTGATAGTGAAAAAGTGTAAGCATGGGCGCAAGGTAAGTGCAGGGCGCTCGGATATAAAAATCAGAAAAATATTAAATTATTTATAAGGCTTAATTTAAAAAAATGGCCATACATTCAGGAAGACTCTGGAATTCTTTCCCATAAGGGCGGTCATTGAAGAGGCGGTGAGCGAAGGGGGAGTGGGCGCGGCACCTCCAACCCCCACCTAGACGTCCTATGGGTCCCAGGGACCCCTTAGAAAAATCGCCAAAAATCACAATATTCACTTGCGTCCACAGTATTTTTGCGTAGAATTCGGTAAGTGTTGCCGGGGAAGAGGGGCAGGCACCTCTTTTGTTATCATGGGTATATAAAATGTCCCGTGCAAATGAATATTCAGCCTTTTTCAAACGAAAAAACGCAAGTGAAAATTATGACTTTTGGTCGTTTTTCTAATGGTTCTCTAGGGAACCATAGGGGCCCTAGGTGGTCGGGAGTAACATTTTTTTCAATAGCGGTTCTGCCCTCTCCAAAAAGGTCGGAAAAGGTGCCACGTCCACTCCCCCTTCGATCACCATCTCTTTAACAACCACCCCTATTGGAAAGCCAACCCATATAGTTATTTATTTTTCACATTTATTGTTGCTTTGAAAAAGATTTCTAAGATATCTTTGTTTGTTTGTACCAAATTAATGGAAATTTGTAACAATAAATTGCACAAAAAATTTAAAAAAAATTTTACTCCTTTCTTATGTCATGTATTGCTTTTTTCCTATCGAAAATATAAATGTACTCCTTTCTCCGTTTCAAAATTTGGCAACCCTAGTCTAATGTCCATACATATTTTTAAAAGGAAAGTGTTACATATTTTTGGTTTTCAGAATAAAGGTCAAAAGTAATTTAAAAATTTAAATTTGTATGACAAATATGGATAAATATTTTAAAATTCCATTTTTTTTAAGTTATAATCCTTCCGCTCTGTGCTTCCTAGTCATATTATAATATGTATTGAATTCATTTGTGTTTTATAAAATAGATATGTCTGTACATAAATGTTTACCTCTCCAATGCATGCAAATCGGCCATTTTTATAGGCAATAATTGTGCTACTTCGATCTCCCCACTTTGAATGATAATCGCCACTTACACAAATAAGCGAAATTTCTTCATAGGTTTGTGGCTCATTCTCGTCGAATGCTACAAAGATTGAAGAACTTTCTATTGTTATGAGTGTTTCAATATTCTTTGCCGAGATTTCTTGAAGATGCATATAATTCTATAAATATTTGAGTTCAAACTATTGAAAAGATTTATTTTTTATTTAATATGCTTACATTTGCCCAAGTAGTACGATCGTCATGGGTAAGAACAGGTACACAATCTCCCATTGGCTCATAATCTAAAGTACAACGAATGCGTTGCAATACATTGAGTATTTCTTGCTGGGTTATAATCGTCCCATCAGTATGTAGGCAATCAAAAACAAAAATTCGCCCTTTACCAGAAATAATGGCATGCGAAGGCGTTGCACCATCCTTAACTAGAAACGACAAAGATTTATTTAGTTTCTCTTGAAAGCTATACAATAGATTTTACCTGTCTTAAAGTAACTTTTAATATAATCAAATTCCACGCCAGGAACTCGTGTTGTTGAGAAGAATCTTTTGTACAATGCTGATGAATATTTAGTTTTGCCGCCGTTAGAAGAAAGTGGTTTCAATGTAGCCTTGTGGGCCAATTCCCAAAACTCCAATGTATGATATATCATACGTGATAAATTCTGAATTATTTTAATGTATATTTAATGGCTAATTTATATTGATAAAAAAAAAATAACCTTAAGCAAATGAGCCGGTGTTTCTGGAATATTGATGACTTCAAATTTTACTGGCATTCCCATTACGATGTAGGGATGTAGTGGTAGTCTCAACATATGGTATGCATATTTATCCCACCATTCATTTAACCAATTCTTCTTGATTGCAGCTAGTTCTTTTAATTTTTCATGCAATTGAGCACCGACTCCAGATTCAAATTTCTTGATAATTTCTTTCGAATTACTCAATTCTTTATGTGAGCCAAATGGCTTTAACGATTCATAGTAGCGTTTTAGTGTATCGTGTAGGTCTGGTAGGGGTAATGCTGGCAATGTTTCGTCGTAGTCATAAGTATTTGGTTCGCCTTCATCCAAAAAATATATGCTAGCCCGATCCATAATTATTCAAATCTGAAAACTTACAGAAGATACAAATGGATATCTTATATGGTATATCATGGAGAAATATAAGAAATTAGACTTTGAACAAGGCAGAATTAATCCATTCATTAAACGCGACTGCACTCATTTTTATTAATTCATTGCCCTTATTTTTAGTGTCTGTTTACTAATTTATACATATACGTCAGTGTCGGGCATTTTTAGCTTTCTTTTTCGTGCGTGAATAGATGGTATTTCGCTGCCAACGTCTCTGCCAACTTCTCCGCCATCCCAGTATACTACATAGCGGCATGTCCAACGCCGGCAGAATTCCGTAAGCAAGTGCCTTGCGCTGGGCATGTCTGCTACCATAGTTGCCAACTTAGTGCTTTAAGCACTAGATTTAGTGCTTTTTGAAAATTAAAACGCCAAAAAAAATTATTTAGTGCCTAGTGCCTTTTTTAGTGTTTTTTTTCTGAACTAAAACTACTTCGAGATAGTTGAAAACTGAAATAAATTGAAATATTTAGGGCTGTGGCAGCACTGAATTTACAAGAATCTACAAATTTAATTGAACTAAAGTACAACCATGATTGATAAAAAGTTGAAGTTGCAAACCCACCTTGTTAAATTATATTCGCGTTGAAAATGCTAGTACGCAAGTAAGTTAAGTATGTGTTTCTTTTTTTCTTTTCTAAATATTTGTACAAATTTTGTTTTTTTTTTACCACCTGAGTAAAACACATCGTTTCTTGGTGCTGAATCCAAATCTGGCCTCACAATTGGTCTAGCACTAGAATTTTGAGATTTCCTAACCTCAAAGTGCCAAAAACACGGTTTTTAGCGATATTTGAGGTTATATAATGAAAACATCAGATTATTTGCTCATTTCTAATTAGGGCATCATTTTCGTTTGATGCGATTCGAGTTTTCTTTCTCGAGATATACCAGTTTTAATGTGCACTACTTCGGTATTAAGTTATGAAAAAAGCATCCCTTGATTCTTAAAAATTTGGTGCTTTTAGTGTGTTAAAACGCTGTTTTTCCAAGTTTTTGGTGCTTTTTGAAAATCAAAAGATGGCAACACTGCCTGCTACATTGTATAAGCTACATACTTCGTGTCGTGGTAATTCGGCAAGGCAAATCAAAGCAATAAGACTGCGCTGCAACGCAAAGCCCAGCCAGCAAAAAAAAGTGTACTCCTGCTATCAGCTTATATTAATTCGCCTTGGTATTTGTGAGATTAAAATTTTTGAAAACTTGAAACGGTTGGGCCTTTGGGCCTTTTTGTTTGTTTTGGACCATTTTGAAGCAACGTTCGTTTCAAACTTTATACAAAATTTGGAAAAATTCGACAAATTTTTATCAAAATTTCAACTTTTTGATCTGAATCTATAGAACATTTTTGGGTATGCAGTTTTATAACCCATACTATTTTAGTCGAATGAAAACCATGTTTTAACCGCCTAAAAAATCGCGTTGATTTTTGAGCACTTTCGTTTGGGTGCTGCTTTTGCGGTGTTTTTTTATATTCATTTTTTGAAAGTTTGTTGCTGGCGGTCTCCTGCATAAAATTTATGCTTGTATGGAAAAAAGTACAAAAATCCGTCACAAAAAAAAATCAAAATTCAACGCGAATTTTAGGTGGTTGAAACTTGCACTTTATTAAACTAAAATTGTATTGGCTATACGACTGCATACCCAAAAATGTTCTAAAGATTCAAATTCAAAAAAGAAATTTAGATCAAAATTTGTCCAATTTTCCTCAATTTTTTTATAAAGTTTCAAACTTTTATGTATGGTTTCTATTAAAGCATTGACGGTATTTTTATAGAAAAATAACAAAATAAAAAATTTTCGAAAAACTACGAACCTTAAAAAAAAAAATTATCACGTGGTCACTTGGTTGAGTCACTGTATATACTTTTGTTGGACGGCAAACAATGGTACATTTTATCTTATTTTGGGCCTTTTTACTTGTATATTGTGGTACACAAAATTTTGATGGAAGAGGCAACCGTGGATATGCTTATAAACTACATACATATGTACATGTACCCATATGTATGCATTATATACAAATACCTACGTGTCTTTGTATGTCCTTTTGTTATGCGTTCTCGTATGGATGTGTTAAACCTGTTGATAAGAGTAATATGAATTATTTATTTAATAAAAGCTTAGATATGTTTTAATAGTGATAACAAAACTATTAAATTTAGACATCACTAATCAGAAGATAGAATATAATTTTGTACTTTAATAACGAATAATACACGAAAGTGAATTAAATAAACCAAACCGTCTTATACATAGATATTAGCGTCACACTAATAAAAGCAAAACAGTAGATGTTGAACGAAATACATACATATACATACATACATACTTACATATGTATGTACATACATAAATATCTGGGGACTTTTGACAAAACAACTTTTGTGCGTTCTGTAGGTAGGAATTTATAGTCAAATGTAAGGAAGTTCCATTTGAAAAGATTAAATTTGTATTTAACTTTCATAAAGTTAAAATCTTAAACTACTGCTTTTAATGAGTTAAAATAAAAAATTGCATATGAGAACTCGGTGAATTACTGCTTTGAAGAGCAAATGACCTCACTCGAGAAAAGCCGTTTCATCAAATGTCCACAGATATGTATGTACATACATATATGTATGTAAATATGTAATGGATTTATACGAACAAGCAAGTGACTAAACAACCGCACTGCAAGAATGTTTACAAACAACTAAGTGGACTTAAACGGGCTCCTGAATTTCTAAATTCATTAATTTAATTACCATTTTCGGTCTGAATTAAAATGCACATTGATTTCAATACGATTATACAAGTCGACGTTTTATCACCAATCATACTTTAATTTATAGCTTTATTCCCGTACAATCTGCACTGGATCCGGTAATTCCGCGATGCTAACGCCATACGCACTTCTGAACTTGGTGTTTTTGTAAATCGCTTAAGCATAGCAAGAGCGCCGTCACATCCGCGCGCGCGCTCTTTGAATCTCCGGACTTCAACCGAAGCAATATGAAGAGCACAATTCCTAAAGAATGCCCTACCCTGCAGTAAAAAATTTTTTTTTTAGCGGGATTTCAATAAATACCTCGCTTTTATTTAGTCCAGAAAAGCTTATTTAAAGTACAGTCATGCAGACGTAATCGGAAGTTAGTTTTTTATAAACAACTTCTTATTTAAAAATCCTCATACAAATATTACTTTGTATGGAATTTTTTCTGCGCTTCACAGACACTTTTTCGAATTCAATGCAAATAAAGTAAAGATCGAAATTTTATATGTATTATCATTTTGATGTTACATATGTCTGACGGGATTCAAATATGGATTCAGCTAGGGTAGAATAAGTAAACAAATATGTAATGTTAAATAAAGTAAATATATAAACATGTTAAAATTTGAAGAAATAATTTTTTCTTATTGATATTTTGCGTCCAAAGGCAATCACCACGCTAAATTTCCGTCGCCAAAATTCTTTAAATTCAAAGCTGTGGGACCTAATAAAAGTGCACAACAACGCCGAGCAAATGGAATTTTAATTTTTGACAAGACGTTACGTGTTGAAGTTGAATGCAGGAGACGGAAAGAAGGAAAAAGAACAAAAAAGTGAAAGAAGAAACGAGAATAAACTAGAGAGGAAATGAGAAAACGTCAAACATTACGCTGCGTTGATTTGCGGATAGCGCGCGTTGACACTCGTTAACAATTGGAAAACGCAATGCTTAGCGCTCCAATTTAGGGACGCTAATAACGGATGCAATATGTAATCATGATGCAATAATACAAGGTGTTATCGGCTAGTAGCTTCTCGCTCTAAGTCCGCTATATTGATGACTGCCTTAGGTGAAGCAGTGTTACTTCTTTAACAATTCTTTGCCTAATAATACAATTGAATTTTTTTTTATTTTTTCTCAGTACACACGTTTTGTTTTCTTAAAAAGGCATTTTAACTTAGTTTATTTCATTTTATTACGAATATACTATAAAAACGCAAATTTTGTTTAGAAGAAAATATGAAATTTATATTTTTCCCCCAAACGGGGATTAATTTCCTCCCGTTTTTCATCTTATTCTGCTGAGCTAAGGCAGTATCAAATCGAGCTGCCACAACTGACACCACCTTGTATTATTGCATCATGATATGTAATCAGCTAAATCTGACAGTATGATATGCATGTAACTAGATGTTGCACGTTGTTAGGCGCGCCTCTTATTCTTTGGAGATTTTTGCCAATTAAAATTGGCGATAGCGAACGTTGTAATCCGGCTGCAGGTCTGACTATTTTGCGGTCGTCGCGACAGGAAAGTAGTTGGTTTTCTTATTTTTAAGTCAGCTTTATTTCCTGCAGGGTATCAAGTGGTATGGGCACTACCGCAAACAAACGATGAGCACAACATGCACATGGAATAGTGTGCTTAGGGTCGGACGGTGGGTTAAATTGGAGTTTTGGTAACTTTCTTTTTCATTCTTATATTTCTTTTTTTGTTATGATGAAATTAAAAATACTGATTCGGATTTATATTAAAAAATGTGGATAGAAAAAATCAACTCATATACATGAAGTTATACAGTTATTATATTGTTCACAATGGCGCACAGTGTTTCGAATATATGGAGGCAGGTAGAAAAGTCATGGCGACAGTTGATAAAAGAAAGCCGGTTGGACTTAGATAGGGAAAAGTTAAAGTCATAAATACCAAATCTTACATTATTTACTAACCCCCCTTCTTCACGAAGGATACATATCAAAAAAAAAAATATACGGGAATGGGTGCGATACCGACTAATCAGTTTAGTTGCCTTTGGCGATTAACCCATTAAAGAAAGTGTTTCTTTTTCAACTGTAATCAATTATTTAAATGTAGTATTCAGGTAACGGTATCTATCATTTATTTGGCACTTTCCTATTTTCTTAGAAAAAAATTTACTTTGAATACTAGTTTTCGAATATATAATTTGATCTTTGCGCGCGACTTTGCAAATATAAGTAAATTTTTGATTTTCTTAATTTTTAATTTTCAGCTTCGTTTCGCATAGTTTCGCGAAAAGAATTTTTCGAACAATGAAAAAATCTCGCCAAATATTGGGAAAAAAGCGAGTAGTTACACCTAAAGCATTGTATAACCTTTATTTTCTGAGAGTGGAAAGCATGAAACAAAAATTAACCAAAATTTCATCACATCTAATGACTGGGCCCACACTTTTTGTGAGTTTTGGACGCTATAGTGATCCAATCGTCCCCATATTTTATATTTAGGTTTTTCTAATAAAATAATGACTTCGAACTAAATTTCATCGAAATCGGATGGCATTTGATGTTTCCGCCCACAAGAGTAAAGGGCGTGGCAATTATTCCATTTTTACAAAGTTTAATAATTCTCTATATTTAAGTAAAACTAGAGCACATGTAAAATTTCAGTCAAATCGGTGCAGGTGTTCTATTATTTCCACCTGCCTTCATATAGTCGAACCACTGTGTGTCGTTAGTATTTCATTATCCCATTGTAATGCAGCATTTTTGCTGCATTTTAAAATCAACATTTAGCATGAACGAACGATACAAGATCACGTAAGAACAAGATAGTTAAAAAAGTCGATTTTTTGAGCGGGTTCTACGTCATCTTGGTTTCGTTGGAAAACGAAAGAAAAGTAAACAAGGCAAAGAAAATAACGAAAACCAAATTTAACTAAAATTATTGTCAGCTAGTCTAAACGCACCATTTAGGTCAAATTATGCGTTAAAATGCTTTAAAACGGGTTGTCATGTTGAATTAACTCTTCTTTGGTCAAAGAAAAGTGCAAAATATTGGTGTTCGTGATGTAAACAAATGCTCAGCTGACGAACCCGCTTTCGCAAACTTTTTTCTCAAAACCAGTTACAAATACAACGTCGCGCGTTTTAAAGCATTTTAACGCATAATTATACCTAAATTGTGCGTTAAAGGCAGTCGACAATAATTTTGGTTAAATTTCGCTATTTTCTTTGCTTTGTGTACGCTTCTTTCGTTTTCCAGCGAAACAAGATGGCGTGGAGCCTACTCAAAAAAATCGACTTTTTCAGAGTAAAAAAGGTCAGAAGTTACCAGTTTTGGTCCGAAGATTTTTTGCTGGCAAGTTCTGGTAAATGTGTCAAACGATCAGCTGTTGTGTGTTTGGCAACCAAATTGTAATCAAAAGAAAAGTGCACAATGCTAATGCACGTTTGAAAAGTATTTAATTACTTGTTTAAGTGGATTCTAATCAATTTGAAAGTATTTTTGGTTATTTGTATGTGTTAGCTGAGTGTGTTTACGCATAAAATAAGCTAAAATTTACAACCAAAATTTGGAGGTTATATTGAGGTTGACAGAAGTTACAATTTTTTACTAGAAAGCCATCCCGTACTTTCCAATGTTACTCTCTCTCTCTGAGCGAATTTTTATTTTTTGACAGTTTTACCAAAGAACTAAGGTCGGTGTAAAGCTCGGAACACTTTGACGACAGCAAGCGACAAGCAGCATCTGTCAAATTTTAAATACACACGTTCTTACGGACACAATTATTTTGACGACAGCACGACATCTTGGCTGCAGGACTGCAATTGTCGACGTCGCCAAATTAAATCTATTTCTAATTTTGCCGGCGACAATGAGTAGATGTAGTGCTGCAAAATTAAATTGTCGCAAAATTAATCACATATTCTTGATTGTTCATGTTTTTCTTATTTACTTAAATAAAAATACACAATTTGTGAAATAAATATACCAAAATGTCAAACTTTAAAATCAGCTGTTTGCTATGTCGCTGAGGTCTTCAAAATGTTTAAGAAGCTGGCTTCAAGGCGACATTTGTCGACAAAATGATGTCGCTGTCGTTACGTCGTGAAGTTGCAGTCGTCAAAGTGTTCCGAGCTTTATGCAGACAAACTTTTGTTTGCTAAATTAAATGGCGGCTGCTTAGTTTGCTCGGAGGTGGTTATGTCGAGTTTGGCACAGGGTTGCACGTTCATTATGGTTTTCATGGCTATTGCCAACACGAAATGAGAATTTCAGATGTACATAACGCGCAAAATTTAAAATTTTTGTATATGACAACACCGAATTTGCTGCAGTTTGACCAAACAAAATTAGTTTGCTGTGAGAGTCGCCAAACTCGCTCTCTCCGAGTTTGCTGCAACAACAATTGCACGCAGTTTGCCAAACAAAATTTCTGCATAACACCGACCTTAGATAACAAGAAGCGACAACTCGTTATAATTGTAGTGAAAGTGCGCAACAGGGGCGTGCCTTCTCTTTTGCCCTAGTGCTTTTTTGGTTGATTGATTGGATGAAAAGAGAAGGCATGCCCCTGTTGCGCACTTTTGCTACAATTATAACGAGTTGTCCCTTCTTGTTATCTACGTTCTTTGGGTTTACTAGTTTTAGTCCGACGAATACGGGATTGCACCTAGGTTATATACTGGACCGTATGAATAAAAACTGAGCAATTGCTTTTTCTTAAAATTTCATACCTGTTACTTCACTTTTGTTTGAATAAATCGAGTAAAAGGTCTGAAATATTAAGAAAAAGCAATTGCTTATCTTTATTCATACGGCCCACTATAGTGTCAAATGTTTTTTTTAGCTCTACGTTATCTACGTTCTTTGATTTCACCATGGTAAGTCCCCTTTCAGACACGTCTTGCCTTCAAGTCTGCTCGTTCGTTGGTGAAGGAGGTGGGAAGAGAGGGGAAGAGTACAAATACCTCCGTACCGTCAATTCGTTTCAAGTTTTCTTGTTCTCTTTTGATCTTTTCGTTGCTTCCCATTTAAAGATCCGAGGACTTGAATTCAATAAAACTTGAGGCGTGTGGAAGAAAGGGGACTAACTGCACGTCTATACCTGCTATGGGCGCTCGCATACGAAACATCGTAAGAGATACATCGCAGGTGCAGACCGTTCATCGCAGAAAGTACACGATATAAGTAGGAGATATCTCATACCTAAC